CCCGCGGCCGTAGGGAGATGGCAGTTAACGGCCCGTGGCGTGTGCGGGAGGGCTCGTCCCTCGGCGGAGACCCGCGGCGCGGCTCCCCTCAGCCCGCCGGGCCTCCCTGTCGCAGCTCCCCTCGCCGTCGCGTGCGGGGCTCTGCAGGGCGCAGCCGTCCTTCAGACCGCCCTTGGGCACCACGCAGAAGGGAGGATAAATAATTACCGTGGCCACCGTAAAAATATTAACGCTATTAATAATTTAGTAAGCTCTGCCTCGCCGAGGATATTCGTGTGCATATATATTCAGAATAATCAGTTCATAGGAAACGAGGGAAAAGAGCTGACGGGAGAAAATACGACTGGTCAAGATGAAAGTCAACCAGCTGACTCAATGGCACCAACCCCAAAACAAATTAATTACACCAAATGCTTTGCCGTCCTGTCCTTTTTCATTTTCTCTAATACTAAAACTTTCTGATCTGGAAAGGAATTCTTTCTTGCTCAGCATCTCTGAAACCTGATTTAGCATAATGTCTCACTGGCTCCATGTAAAAAGAATGAGAGATACGTTTTCTATTTCCAGAATTTTCTATTATATGCTAAATTCTTATATGCCAAATTGAATTCTTAGATCTTATTCGTTTTTTTATATTAAGGATTTTTATTAGTTCAGGCATTTTCATGACTGATCCAGCAGCTGTTAGCGCCAGTAAGAGTCCATTGACGTTTCATGATTTGGAAGAAAAACACAATAGGCAAATGCAGAAAAAGATGATAGCAGGTGTTGCTTACGTGCATAAAGATTTGCTTGCGAGGGACACATAAGTTAGGATTACTTTCTTGAGGAAAAGATTTCAGACTAACAGCCTGGAAACCGAGGAGGTCATTTCAATTTTGACACTTGAGTCAGCCAATTCTTATGCAGCCATACAATCGCTGTACATGAAATACTGTATTTCATACAGAGTAATTGCAACAATGACTTACAGTCAAAATAGAGCCCAACCTGAGGTCCTTTTGTCACCTCGAAGTACCAGTTTGGGCCATCATTTTGCAGTTCCAGGCCAGGCCACCCTTCACTGGCTTTTCCCTGTTCTCTCCTTGCTTTGCACTCTTACCAAGTCCTTTCCAGCCAGGTCTTCGTTTTCCCTCACGCCCTGAGCCAGGTTTCTCCTAGGTTTGGAACAAGTTCTGTGGTACGGTTTCTGGAAAAAGATACTGGTGATTGCACACGAATTTCCACTTGACCTTTAGATCCTCCAAAAAGCTGTGTAAAACGATGTGCCTGCAGAGACAGCAGAAGCATAGTTATCGGGGCTGAGGATTAAGGGGCGATACATGCATCACTTCCCAGTTAAAGGTTTAAAAAGAATATAAGTGATACCTAAACATTCAGTACATCAATACAGGCTCACTGCGCATATGGAGACTGGCTCGGGCATTAGCCATTATTTTAAATACACTTGAAAGATTATATTAATTAATTAAATTAAATAATGAATAAATTAATTAAATTAAAATCTTATAAAGCAACTAGGACATTCTGATGAAACATCTGAAGCTATTCTTCCTGGGACTGACAGAACGGAGCCAAAGTTTAGGTAGCAATCTTTTAAGAAAAGTGGCTAAGATTTTTTTTTCATCATTAAGTGCATTTATTCTCACTAAAGTTTAGATCAGGACTGATGACAAAAATAATTACTATTCTTTATACCTGACATTTAAAAATCTAAGTGCTTTTCTTATAAAAGGCTCTGAAATAGAAACAGCTATTATTTTTCGTTGTGTAAAATGTAACATGCAGTTGAAACTTGCTGTTCCTTCCAGTTCTCTAGACATCAGTAACCCAGGAGTATAACATTTATTTAATAGTTAAATAGTTTCCTCTCGCAGTAACACCCACAGGGAGAAAGTTCCAGGAGATAACACTGTGAAAGGAGCCCCGTCACATCAGCCTGGTGGGCGCAGGGATCTCTACCTTGCGGAAGAAGCCAAGGAGGCCACATCAGAAGAGCTGATGGGACCCCGCGAGGCCCCAGGGAGCCCTTGGTGCCCGCGGCGTCCCTGCAAGTTGGCTGTCTCGCAACCGGTTCTTGGCTTCAGGGTGTGAGTTTATGTAGGTAGGCTGCTCATCCCTGAGATATCTTGCAAGCATTTGGGGGTTTAACTCCGCCCCTTATAACATGACACACCTACTGCTGGGGGTATAAAGCCCGGGTCGGCTGGAGATCTAGTGGGATAACCTTGATGTGTAGTGTTTGCTACATGGGGGTCAGTGGGCGCATGAGAAACCTCATAAAAAAATTCCATCCAGCCTTTTTATCTCTTTTTTGAAGAGATAAGTAGACGAGAGAGGAGAGGGACTGGGCCCAGTTTTGCCGGAGGTTTGGGAACAATGATTTTTGTTGAAATTACTACACTCCAGGATCCTGGGCGTGGACTTTGGGGGGGGATGCTTGGGAACGCCAGGGAAGGGGAGTACGCGAAGCAAAGCAGGCAGGGGAGCAGGGCACCAGGTAGAAGAGAAAGCGTCAGCACAAAATAATACAGCAAGGGACGATGCGGTATAAAAAGCTTGAGACCTCAGGAATCTTCGCCTTGGGCCGCTTTCCTGACAAAGCTCATTTCCTAGCAGCCCTTTCACATCCGTAGTCTACTCAAAACTTGACTGTCAAAATTACAGAAACTCCATCTGCTGCTGTTATGAAAAAAGGTTAAAGATGCTTGAGAGTCTTATTTCCTCACAAATTCCAGAAACTTTCTTCTGCAACCTTTAGAATCGGCGAGGTTTTACTTCAATTCCAGCAAAGCTGGCTTAAAAGCTGACCTTTTACTTCTTAGAAACATATTTTTCTTTTATTACCTTTTCATGTCCATTTTTAAAGGCAACTTGTCCTTTCCAGGACTCTATTTATATTTCTATGTGACTTTTTAGTACTGTGAATTCCTTTCTAAAAGCAATGTTATTGTTAAAATTTGTGCTTATTCTTTTTTCTGCATTAGAGTCAAAGAACATCCAAATCTGGCTATTTAAGTAAATACTTTAATTTGCTGAAGACAGCACTGTGACTAAGCATTAAGTAGTCATTTGTGTCAAGGCTGAAATCTGTCGTATTTATATTTCCTGCATGTTGCAGAGAGAGGGTTTTTATCCGACAAGAAAGTGCTTATGGGGATGAAAAACACCTACTTAGAAAATGTTGTCGTCTTAGGTACAAGAAATGTTCCTGCATTAAACCAAAATTTGTTACTGACCAAGGTTAATTAAAAAAATTCCCAGTCCAAAATAAAATTACAAAATAAACACTTTTTTAAAAAAAAATCTCCTTTCCGGAGTTGGTTTGTGATGTGTTAAATGGGAAACAGCAGAGTTTCTTCAGCTAAAATAAGGGCGGCCCCGAGTTCCTCCCGGAAACACGCTGGATCTGGGATCCTCCCGGAAACACGCTGGATCTGGGATCCTCCTGGAAACATGCTGGATCTGGGATTCTCCCGGAAACACGCTGGATCCGGGATCCTCCTGGAAACACGCTGGATCTGGGATCCTCCCAGACTGACTGGAGTCGATCCCGGTTGACAGCCCTCGTCTCACCCTCACAGGCCCTGGGCTCAGCGAGGAGCCAGCTCTGCCTGGCCACTGGTGTTCCCGCCCTGGGCCGGCAAAGGGCTGCCATGGCCACCTCCTGGGGAGCCACGGCCTCCGGACAGAGCCGGCGGGGGCCGCGCGTGGGTCGGGCTCGCTGCGCCCACGAACCACACGGGTGCTTTTGTCAGCCCGAGGCGGGCAACGGGGTGCGGGGCCTGGGCGGGGGTCAGACGGAGGCACTGCAGTTTTTGGTGGCCTCGGGTGGGCTCGGGGGGCCCAGGGCACGGCCGA